AGCTCTTCTTGGTACTTAACTAAAGTTTAAGGAAATTAAAGGCGGCTAATCATAGCTGACCACACTATCCCTTCTTATGCAGAGGTCACAGAAACAGGTGAACTCTAATTCACTTGACCAAAAGACCGTCAGGTTTTTTAAGGGGCACCTTACTTTTATAGTGCACAAAATGTATGCGTCTGTGTAGCATTGATCATTTCTGTGGACCCATTGTATAAAAAGGTTTATCCTACACGAACTTCTCATGAATACTTCTAAAGAAAATAATGAATATCATCAAAACCACCAGTAATTTAAAAATCCATAGTAACATTCCTATCAAGACAAATGTTACATTACATCCAAGACATGACGCATGTATTTAGGATATGAATACGTTCACATCAGTTTTCTGATATAAGAAATACTCCTCCAAAGCACAGACAGTCTGATAAAAATTAAGTCTGAGATTATTTTTTGCTACCCTTGTTTTGTTTTTTTTCATCGAAAGTAATTCGACACATTTATGAGACTTGATAGTTGACGAAAAATGTCATTAAATTTATTCTAAATGAATTTAAAAATGTACTTAAATATTTATTGCGTACTAATTATACTTTAATCTGTAATGATATTTCCCCATTCTTCCTCCGTAATTCTCATCACCATTAGCTATAATTATAATTATTAATTATGAATTAATTATAATTCCAATAAGCACTCATATGCTATCACCCTCTTGACCAGAATACAATTTGTAAAATATATTTTAAACTACAATATTATATTTTACTTTATATTTTACTTTATTTGTGCCAGATCTAGTACCCGATAACATATCGTCCCGTGTTTGTTGATTACCTAATTAGCAAAGAGCCGAAAATTCCATACTCATTCCTGTATATTATTAAACAAAAACAACTAGAAATAACTGTAACTTGTCAAATATTAACCGGCATACATACAAATTACCTCAAAAGTTCTTATAATATTTTTTCATTATTTTTATTTTTTTTTATTTTTTCATTTTAATCTACCTACATTTCTTCCAGTACCCACAGAAACATACACGTATAATGAATTTCAATATATGCCCAAGGGACGGCGTGGTTTAGCGGTAGAGAGCTAGAATAGCTAACCGAGAATCTCGTGTCTCGGGTTCAAATTAGTGGAACGTCTCTGAGTCCACCCAACTCTAATGGGTACCTAATCTAAGTTAGGTATATACATGCAGCTGGGCATAGTGATGACCACGCTATCTCTTAATATGCCGAGGTCCCTGAAGTAGATGAACTCTACTTCATCTGCCTTATATCAATACTTTTTTTATCAACAAACTTCTGAATATACCAGGCTACAGAACAAACTCTTGAATGGGCGTTAAGTTTAATGCCAAACATTGTTTACATATATGTAAAACTAAATACTCGCTAACTAACATACTGATGGTAGATTTTTAAAGTAGGTTTAACGGAATTAAAGATAGAATACAGCTGTGGTAAACATTTATTTCTCACCTCGCCTACTTCGACACTGTTACGTTGAAATAAGATTACAGTTTTTCTCTTTGCTTTGATAAGAATTTTATTTTATTATTTTAGAATTTTGAATACGATTCAATGTATCAGCTTAATTCTAAAAGTAAACTACGTTATTAAAAAAACCAATAAATAAAGCAATGCTAAAACAAATCAAACAGCCGCACCAACTTTCAAATCTTAGTCTAATATTTAACCTACATTCTCATTACAATTACTACATAAAGACACTACAAGATAGTGATAAACCTAAACTGCAAAACCTTACCAACTTTTAAAGTTAAAACTAACTGTAGAAGTAAATATGCATTACAATACATAACATACATATGATAACTTCTCCTACAAAATAAGTTTACATAATATCAATGAATTGAAATGTTAAACTTCACCAATTCTTGTATACTCAAATCGGTTTTAAATTGTGTTTCATTGCTAAAAGAAAAAAAATAGTTTTTATGTGTCTTTTAATATCATACAGTACAAACTAATTTCAATAAAATCGAAACCAACCAAGCAATATTTAAAAGCATAACAATAACGTGTTGCTTTAATACAACAAAAGCACACAAACATGAATTAATACAACAAAAGCACACAAACATGACGTGTTATGTTTACTAATTCTTCTCACCTGATAAAGCATTTAATCGTGTGTCGCTAAAACAAATATATCGCAGAATTGAGTTCACATTTTTGCTCAACTATACTCAGCGTTACCAATAGTGTTTACATTCTTTAAGCTATATCGTGCTAACTTCTGGTTTTGTAAACCATATCTCATACAATACCCTTCTTCACGCTGTTATACATCAAATGATATAGGTCAATGATAAATTCTAACAGTCAATTTTATTTAAAGTATGTTATTTATTTTATTCATCCAGTAACTACAGTAACATACACGTTTATTGAATTTCCATTTTAGCTCACTAACACAACATTTCAGGTTGTAAGTAAATGTAGATATAATTTATTTATATTCAACCATGTACTTTTTTTAAAAAAATTAATAATATTAAGACACTGATCAAATCACAATAGCCCTCTACATACATTCTGAATTCGTTCAAACAATTTCTACCTTTTAATGCTGATGCTGGAAAAAAAAGTTAAAAGTAACTAAGTCATGACCACTTGTAAATATTGCAGAAAATTCAACAATGCGTATTCATTGAATGCCTGCGGTTTTTTTAAGTACTACATTTCATACAGAACAAACGTTCATGCAAACATTTTTAGGTTTTCACATATACCTTTTAATCGACGGTGCTCGATTTTTTTTTCGGCTGTGTTTTGTCCTCTCCATTCGTGTGTTAGCATTATTTATGTTATCATATTCAAATATCATTCCCCTCCCAGAAATTTCAAATCTCCCCCACCCACCCCACACACACACACCACCGGAGGGAAAAATATCACGAAGAAACATTGCATAGCTTCGGTAGAGCACGTTTTTCTTATCAAAATACGTTTTTTGCCGCCCAGAGTTCCCGAGCGGCTGTCTTAGCATTTGGTATAATTTGTGATTGGGTGATCTGTTTAGGGGGGGGGGGGGGGGTGTCAAGGGTACTACATCAGTCAGCGGTTCAAAACGATCTTTATAGTCAATGGCAGATAATTCGAAAAAAAACCGACACATCAGATAAATCCTGGTTGCTTCCCATGCTGACATTTCCCAGGTCTAAATTTTTCTTTCTATGCAATGTTAAAAAATAACAACGATCTCTAGAGAAGAAAAAATACTATACTTAACTGACAATAACAACATTTAAAAAAAAAAATTCTAACTTTAATCATAATTTATGTATAAGTATGTGTATTCAACATATTTTCTCTTTGTATTTGAAATGGCCAATAGATGAATATTTTTTGCTCTTGGAATACAAGAAATCTGTCCAAGGTCTTAATTCCAATGAAAACAAACATCATTAAGTCAGTCAATTTCAATTTGTAGAATGAAGACTTTTTAAAATTTTACATACAGTTCATTTAGTATTAAAATGATAATGGTAAATATCAGTACCAGACCTAGACAGTGCCAGACCTAGACCTAAACCATTCTAGACCTAGAAATAGACAGTACCAGACCTAGACAGTACCAAATCTAGACTTTTAAAAATTTTACATACAGTTCATTTAGTATTAAAATGATAATGGTAAATATCCATAAAGGCGTCCATGTTGGAAATATCTATATATATAATTCTCCTCTTCGAGCCGTTAGAAAACAAGCTGCAAACGCTCTCCCTACCTCCCCACCCCTACATGGTAAATTAGTGAGCTGTGTTCACTCTAAATGTTTACAAGCAGAGCCAACTATTTTAAACGTAGGGGGGGGGGGGAGGGGGGGGAAGGAAGGGGGGGGGGGGTTATGGTCCTTAACGAGCTACTTATAGTGTTTTAAAGAAATATTTTCAGTGTCAGCGTTGGTACTGCCGAATTCACAAATTATGAATTATTGAAAATTAGAAACAACTAAATAGCGGCGTATGTTATGCCGCGGGCCGGCTCGTTCTCATAATTTTTGTTGCTTTCCTTTGGACCATAACTAGCTTGCTCTAAGCCTGGGGTCTCCAAACTTTTCAGTCCGAGGGCCGCAATAACTATCACATTTCAGTTGGGGGGCCAGTTCCTTCCATGCATGTCTTTGCTTTTTCTGCGCAAAGTGCCTCATCATCACCAACAAACAATTTTTCCTTGGACAAAAAGATCTCCGCGGGCCGGATGAGAGGACTTCGCGGGCCGCATACGGCCCGTGGGCCGTAGTTTGGAGACCCCTGGTCTAAGCTATACAGTGACAAACCGGGAGACAAATCATGTAGTTCTAATACGACAAGTCTATCATTGACAAACAGACAGCTGGAAACCCAATACACAAAACGATATTCAATATTTGTATAGCTTTTTTATTACAAAATTATAAAACTGTTTAATGATAAATATACCTTGATGTTTGGCAATTTTTACATGACGTTGTTCTTATGTCATAGCCGGCAAACTAAGTTTACATCTTTTAGTATTTGTTAACTTAAGCGAAAGTTTGACGTTACGTGCGCATGCTCAGATTACTATCAAACATCATCCACGTGATGGGACATAATATATGAAATCGATCAGCGACGATACATTTGTATATACTTCATAAAATGGGATAGAACAGTGTGACATATTTGATACAACAGGATATAACTGATAGAATGGGCAGTTTTGATTTAATGGGATAGAATCGACAGGAAATGACAGACTTGTCAAAATGGGGCAGCAAGCAACCATTGAGCAGAGTTTCTTCCAGGCATCTCTTCGGGGGGGGGGGGGGCGCTGAGTCCACCCCCCCCCCCTTCAAGAAAGTCTACCGCCCCCACCCCCGAACGAAATGAAATCTATATAGAAAATATATACTTTTAACAGTGCCCCCCCCCCCCCAAAGAAAGCCTACCGCCCCCCCCCCCCCCCCGAAAATTTCTCCCCACCCCGGAGAAAATAGTCTGGAAGAAACACTGCCGTTAAGCTATCTTCTTGACAGTTTTAAACACGTTTTAATTATCAACAATCCCACCTGTATTTTTAAAAAATCGAGTCTGTGAATAGCCGATCAATCCCTCCCCACCACCATCATGGTATGTTTAACCAAAGGGAGCCGTTGCTTTAGTGCATGCCATCCAAAAAATCTTCAGGTCAAACGGCAGTATTCCCTTCAGCGTTATTCGAACGTTGAAACCGGATGTACTGACGCCGGTAGGCTGGACTTGCAAGTCACCTCCAGCATAGAAGAACAACCCAGTCAACCCTGCAACCACGGTGGGAGGGGCGAGGAAGGGGGAGGTGAACTGGACGGGCCGGTTGATGACCGTGACATTGTAGTACGTCAACTGGGACTCGGTGCATTCGGTCACGCCCACGGCGGTACCTGGTGGTGGGGTCAAAGTTTATATTCAGTCGTCGTTCAACGTAATAGTTTATTGATAATATTTAGTTCTAAACAAAACATTTTGTTAATAGGATTTAGATGCTGATATATATGTATATATATATATATATATATATATATATATATATATATATATATATATATATATATATATATATATATATATATATATATATATATACATACAAACACACACACACACACACGCACATACACAATCATTCAAATGTCAAGAACAAATTCAGCTAAGAACAACATCCACAATAAGATAAAGATAACTGACACAGACCACCAAACAAAACCAACCAATCAGCAGCACCCACAAAATAAAACCAACCAATCCAATCAGCAGCAAACAGACCAAACACAATCAACCAATCAGCAACACTTACAAAACAAAACCAACCAATCAGCAGCATCCAGCAAACAAAACGAACCAATTAACAAAAACCAACAAAAAGAACCAACCAATCAGCAGCACCCACAAAACAGAATCAACCAATCAACAGCACTCAGCAAACAAAATCAACCAATCAGCGCTCACCATTGTTGTCGCTGCAGACAGTCTGGTAAAAATACCCCGAGAGACAGCCGTCCCTCTCCACACGTCTCAACCTCTGGTCCAGGGACTGGAGGTAACTCAGGACGTTGCCGGGGTAACCTGGGGTTTAAAGTTAAGGTTAGTTGTGGCGGGGGGGGGGGGGTTGGTGAGTAACCTATGGTCAACAGTGTTAAGGTTAGTTGCTGGTGGGGTGGGGGGTAATCTGGGGTCAAAAGCTAGGGTTAGTTGTTGGGAGAGGGGGGGGGGTTGGTGAGTAACCTGCTGTGGTCAAAGGTAAGGTTAGTTGCTGGGGGGGGGTGGGTAACCTGGGGTCAAAGGTTAAGGTTAGTTGTCGGACTTACGAGTCTTGGCAGAAATAGCATGCCTATCTTTATTCTCATATATACATGTGCGTAATGAAAACAAAACAACTCCTAAATCATAAAGCTAGTTAGGATTGGCATGCGGATGGTTAGGTTTGATTTGAACGCGTTTAGAATTTAAAACAGGCAAAAAAAAGCTGAAATTATTTTTTTTAAAATAAGTTATCTCTGTGTAAAAGTGATGTATTTAACTATACTATCAATGTTTGACATCACGATGACATATAAGAAAGTTTCAAAAAATTGAAATTGTTACCATAGTTTCGATTCCCCCAGTCGTCTCTCTCATGACTGCTCCCTTCAAAAATGGTAAAATCATTTTATATTTTTATATTCAAACTGATATGGTACTTCCCCCCCCCCCCCCCAACCCTGCTTGCGTCATGGTTGCATTTTGTGGAATACACTTGAAAACACTTTTCAAGCAAGTCTACGATTAGTCTTTAGAAACATTACCTTTAGTTTTCAAGAGAAGACAAAATCCCTTTTCTCGGTCGGTAAAGCGCATGGTTGTTAAACCGAAAAGTCTCGAGTTCGAACCCTCGGGCAGATGAGGCTCGTTAGATTTTGGACAGCCACTCTTCTAGGAGAGACTACAAAATCAAACAACTGCTGCCTTGTAGTTTGTTCTTGGTTGGACAAAGGTTTATGGAAGAAAATCCAAAAAGAAAAGCCGGCTGAAATCGGAGGCAATGGCCTCAAATTGAGCATAACAGTTGAGACTTATACTTAATTGTGTTGGAGGGTGTCGCCTCCAACACTAACATTAAACACGAAGAAGAAGAAGACAGAAGCGTAAACTACACATCTTCCACGCTAAAAAAAAAATCTGGGGATTTCCAAATCGGCGCACTTACTGTTTCAGGTAACTTAACTATTCGTAACAGCTATGAAATTTATTTTCTTTAATTTGTAAAAAGTTATCTTCTAAAAAAAAATGTTACATTACCTCCCCTTCCTGGCGGTGTTGCTAAGGCACCATTTATGGTTGCCATGGAGATGATTGTGGCGCAAAAAAGCACGTTGATTAAGCCTTCCATTTTGGGTTTCTAAACTTTTTACTCTTGCTTAATGGAGAAAAAAAATCTAGTAAATGTGTCATCTGTGAAATTTTGGACAAGGCAGTATTAGTGTGAAGGTGAAGTAGAGTTTATCTGTTTCTTTTGTTCGAGTCGCAACTTTTTTGAGTTATTTCCTCATTGTGTTGAGGAGGTCAGGTACACATTAGGGCTGAGTTGACTAAATATCAGGTACAAACCAGGACTAAGCTGACAGGTAATGAAGAAACGAAATAGCACTGAGTATTCTCTGGAGCTAAGGTACCGATTTAAGCTAAGTCGACTCAATGTCAGTTAATAAACAGGGCTGAGTATGTTAAATTGATGTTGATCTTATTTTCAAATTTTCAAATTGGGTTATATTTGTAATGTAACATATTTTCTTACTAACTAACTTTTTAGCGCAATTTCCATACTGGACAATTGCGATTATTATTTTAAACTAACCGTTTCGTTTTTTTTAAAGCTGTTACAAGTCTAGCAAAGATTATTTTGTTCCAGATTAAATTATGACCAATATTCTTTACATACATTCGTAAAGCTTCGGTTTACTTAATGCATTTGTGAAACATTTTATTATGTTTAAAATTCTACAGATCCTTAAATTCGTAAAAAAAAAAGAGTGTCTAAAAACGACAAACGAATGTAGGCTAGCTGGAAATTTTCACAAATAACTCAAAAATAATTAAATAAACTAAATATATCTGTTTATATAAATAAAACTGTTGATATAAATATTATACTTACGAATTCCAATATTTCTCCACAGCAGAGATTTTTAGCGCGACTTTTATAAGTAAACCACCTACATGACGTCACAAGAATAACCTATGAAGTCGCCTACATAATCACGCTAATGTATCCTGTTGTCCTATTGAAGAAATCAGGGTTCGCGATCTACCTTTGTAGTTTGCATAACCAAATTGTTTTCTTGTGTGAACAACGTTCGTGATGTCAATGTTTTTAATCCGACAAGCACGAGGCGTGAAATTACGGCACAGATTAAATTTGGATAAGTTATTTCTAAAACAAAAACATCTGATTACCATTTTAGCCATCAGTGATTTGTAAAAAACAAAAAGATGGATCGTTCAGGCTCGGTTCAAATGAGTATTTAAAAAAAGGAGTTTTTAAAAAACGGAATAATCTTAAGGTCTTAAGGTCAGTAGTATCATAGGGTCTGATATATGGTCAGTCGTTTCATGGGGTCTGATATATCTTAAGGTCAGTAGTATCATGGTGTATGATATATCTTAAGGTCAGTCGTTTCATGGGGTCTGAAATATCTTAAGGTCAATAGTGTCATGGATCTGATATATCTTAAGGTCAATAGTATCATGGAGTCTGATATATCTTAAGGTCAATAGTATCATGGGGTCTGATATATCTTAAGGTCAATAGTATCATGGGGTCTGATATATCTTAAGGTCAATAGTATCATGGGGTATGATATATCTTAAGGTCGGTAGTATCATGGGGTATGATATATTATAAGGTCCGTTGTATCATCTGATCTGAAATATCTTAAGGTCAATAGTATCATTGGGTCTAAAATATTTTAAGGTCAGTGTTATCATGGGTTCTGAGATATCTTAAGGTCAATAGTATCATGGGGTCTGAAATATCTTAAGGTCAGTAGAATCATGGGGTCTGAAATATTCCTAGGCAGAGAGAATAATGTAATTTTAGAAGATCAGAGAGAAGAGGTTTTAGTATAGTAATTATCACGTGACTAAATTAGGGGCACGCTGAATATTCATTCAGAACCCTATGGTAGGCAGCAGAATGTTGCGATATATTTTGTTGTGAGCTGCTTGGCATTACATTATTGTATCAGTTTTAACCGGTCAGACTTTTTGGTTTATTTATTTCAGACAGGACACACCACTACAGTAACACCGGTATATTACCATCATGCACCACAACAAAACAACAGTAGCACACAAACAACCACCACTATAACACCTCCCTTGCACTACCGTTACCATCACTCCATGACGGGTAGAACCACCATCATCATATCACCGCCGAAGTCAACAAAATCTTCACACCGTAGAACCACCAACATCCCCATCCCACCACCTTAGAATCACATCAACCATCACCATCACACCACCGTAGAACCACCATCACCATCCCACCACAATATCACAAGCAACCATTATGTTTACAACAAGATATCTTGATAGAAAGGCCATCCATTTATGACGTCACGCTTTTTTGACGGTTTTTACCCCCTTCTTTCCTCTGTCATTATTGTAACAAAGTACTAGTCTACCTCACCAAAATGACGCCACACTTCAGCCTACTACTCCTCCCCCTTCCTCAAAACTGCAATTTTTTTTAAAGTTTTTTTTTACGTTCTTTAAAAAATATCGACAGAGTATAATCATCATTTTTTTATTACTATTTATATTACCGGTTTTCTAAAACGGTAAATTTAGTTTCCAAAATTACGTTTAAAAAACACACACACACATCACAAACACAACTATCACTAACACAAAAATCACAAACATCGCAAGCACAAACTTCACAAACACAAACATCACAAACTAAAAACCCAGACACGCAAACTAAGACTCAAAAAATCAGTAGTGACAACCTTAGTACAATCCGGGTTAAGATGAAACGAATTCTACTCTGCTGAACACATTTTGTCTGAGTTAACAGATTTGACGCTTAGTGAAGCGTGTTTGTTTTATCTTGTTGCTCGAATCTTTTACATCGTCAACATAATCTATTCTTATATCTTTTTACCGCAAGCAATGAGTGACATAACTAGTCAACACCTATGTCAAGGCTAGTCGGCTTTACGAGAAGGTTACATGGGTTCACGTGAAGGTTACATGGGTTCAAGTGAGGTTACATGGGTTCACATGAAGGCTACATGGGTTCACGTGAAGGTTACATGGGTTCACGTAAAGGTTACATGGGTTCACGTGAAGGCTACATGGGTTCACGTAAAGGTTACATGGGTTCACGTAAAGGCTACATGGGTTCACGTGAAGGTTACATGGGTTCACGTAAAGGTTACATGGGTTCACGTGAAGGCTACATAGGTTCACGTAAAGGTTACATGGGTTCACGTAAAGGTTACATGGGTTCACGTGAAGGCTACATGGGTTCACGTAAAGGTTACATGGGTTCACGTAAAGGCTACATGGGTTCACGTAAAGGCTACATGGGTTCACGTGAATGTTATATGGGTTCACGTGAAGGTCACTGGGTTCACTTGAAGGTTACATTGGTTCAAGGTTGCGTGGGTTCACGTGAAGGTTACAGGAAAGTCAGGCTACAGCGTTTATTTCAGACAATTTGAGGAGGGGTTTAAAACTTTTGTTGTAGAGAATGGGTGTGTGGTTTGCACTGACATGTTCATGTAGAAATGAAGCCTGTATGCGTCTTCTGTGCCAAAGCCGTGATAGTGGTTTGCCATGAAAGCATTATTTTTTAAGAGCAGATTGGCAGAAGTGTTTACATGTTTGACTTGATGCATGAAAGGCGGGGTGATTTGGTACCGCGTGGAAACGTAGGTTTTTATCCCTTTGGGTTAACACTGCTCTGTGTTTACTTATATTCTGTACCTCTGTCTAAACTTGGAAATGAAATATAACTTTCTGTTTATATTAACTAACGTTTTCGAGCGTGGGGTAGACTATATTTTCAATAGAAATTTAAAAACAAAATTCGTCCGGGAAGGGGGGGACGGAGGACATTTACTAAAATAGCATGAAAGAAACCCTGCTACGCTGCATATATTCACATAACTTAAACGCTACATTGATGCACTTGATATCTGGTTTATCTAATGTCACCATACCTTGATGATTTAATTTAACCACCCTACCAACCCCACCCTTGCCCCCGAGAAAAGCTTACCGCAGCCCCCCCCCCCTCCCCCCCCTCCATCCAACCACCGAAAGAAATATAATGTATATAGTAAATATATACTTTTACTAGTTTTCGCCCCGCCAGCCCCCCTCCCGATAATTCTAGTCCGCCCAGAAAAAAGACTGGAAGAAACATTGATGCTAATTGGCTTATTAGCAGTGTACTAAGAATTTAAAACGTATTGCTGGGTTTTATTTTAATAAAAACTAAATTTTGACAAGTATTTATACAACTATTGATAATTTACGTTAAGTTAGTTTTTTTTTTTTTCCATTTGCTTTAAAAAAATAATGTTTAAACCCTTCAATATAAACATTTGATGAATTTCAATGTCAGCATACAAGTCCTAAACGAAGTTTCCTGTAAAACAGGAGACTAGCATACATTGGTTCTTAACCTTTTAAACTCACTACAATTTGCACATGGTCGCAAATACGATTATTTTTTTATTTTTTTTACAATTCTCCAGGTGTTTTGCATAACACCTCATCGCCCATTATTATTTGATTATAATTGAGTTATTAGATTCAATTATACACCTCCTTTCAAATATTAAAGAGCGTGTGTTATTTATCGGACAGCTATGCTGCAAACCTAACTTTATGTCCCTTGAATGGGTCGTTATCACGGGTACATGTGTTCGCTAGTATAGCCTTCCTTGTATAGGGGTATGTAGAAATGTGAAACAAATTTGCCACAGTAAAGTCTTAAAGTCGAGAAAGAAGATTTGAATGGTATGAACTGTTTATTTACTGACGAATCCAATAGTCGTGCCGGCGTAGGAGGCTATACCCTAACCGCTGGGTGCAGTGGCGTCGCAAGGTCGGGTGTGTGTCAACCGGGGTGTGGCACCCTCGATTTTTTTTTTGTAAATTTTGCAGTTGGTGCCACCCCCCCCCCCCCCCACCATTAAAGTGTTTGCATACTTACTTCATAAACCGCGCCACAGAAAAGAAAAGGTAAAGATTACTTCAAACAGTAAAATGTATATTAGCTATTGCAAAGCTAAAATAATTATAAAGCACAATGAATTGTCTGTCGTATTTATTAGGATAATTTCACTCTTTTTTTTTCTTTTACCCCGAGTTACCGTTGTCTAAGAAATAATTGTTCTAACCAGTCATTTTTTAACATAACAATTTTACTCCATGTACAAGAATACATAACTTACAAACCATTCACCAATAACAATAACACATTATACAAGAGCATACATCACATATAAATTGATATAAACATTATTTTCTATCACTTAACATACACATATTTTATTACTTCATTCCAACAAAATGACTTCCCTACAATTGTAATTATCAAATAGTTTTCTTTCTGCTACTTACGACACTCACATTGTATCCCCCAATTTTTGCAAAATGATTTTGCTACAATAAACAAATGTGTTTCGACAATTAAAACTTAACTGCATCTGGTATTTGTACAACGTTGTCTGACACTATTTTACTATTTTGTTACGCAATCTATGTTACACTCGTTTTTTTAATTTTATTTTTAACGAAACTCCATCCGTCGCAAAAATCATTCCTGCAATCTCTACACTTTAAGCATATTCGCATTGTTTTATTTTTTTTCTGTTGTTTTTTTTTCTTAATATCAGGGGTTCCACTTTTCCGGGATATCCCTGATTTCCTGATTCGAGAATCATATTTTTTCATTTTCCCGATTCGCAAATTTTGAGTTTTAAAATTTCCGGGTTTTCACCTTTAAAAGAAGTTCTAAACTAGAATTGTTTTAGCAAGACTACTGAGCATATTTACCTCTTATGGCTTTTAACGCCTTTTGCGCATGCGTAGCTGGTACAATTTTTAACGTGTCAAAATCATTTAAACACATACAAAACTTTGGAAAAAAAACTAGGTATACGTATATAGTTAAAAAAAAAAAACTTTCTATTGC